ACAGCGCCACCGCTACAACTCTACAGAACTCGAATACGACCACCGTGCTACGACATTACGGCACTAGAACGCTCAGATTATAGCCCCGCGGTGCTCTCAAAGCAGACAGTTGCAGGGTACTGGTCTCACGACTAGTGTTTTAGAGCGCTGCGCGTACAACGCAACCCATCCAACAGTACAGCGCAATACCACACTAGTGCAAGTAACATACATCACTGGTCCTACAGCGCCACCGCTAAACACATGCAGCCCGAATACACGACTGCTGGACTCGAGCGCTACAGTAGTGGATTCTGTCTACTACAGTTTGACGGTGCGAATATTCAAGAAGGCGCTGGATTATGCGGTTTACTGCAGGACCTGAGTACTACCCACTACCTCAACTACAGGGCTACTACGTCGCTGCCACTTTATTGAGGAAATACTGCAACTGGCTTAGCATTGTATCAGAGTACCACTCGTGCAGTACTGAAGTGCCACTACAGCGGTACGGCTGATACCGTACTCTATTAGTGCGACAGCAGTACTGCGATACTACGGCGTTGGTGCATTCCTGTTACAGCCCTGTAGCACAGTCGCTGCAGGCAGCCGTAGAGTACTACTATCACGCATTATGGGCTTTACCATTGCTTTTACAACAATTCCACACTTGTGCAACACCCCCCCCACAACACGACCACTAAAGCATTCAAGTTCGAGGATACGAATGGTGTGCTCGAGTGCCACAGTAGTGGATTATTCCGGCTACATATTACATTGCGACACGACAGTAAGTATTCAGGTAATATATGGACTGCAAGACCTGGGTCTTACTATTACTATTATTACGACGACGACTTCAACGGCAAAGCTATTACACTGCTGTCACGCCATTGCAATACTACAACGGCAACCCCAGATTGCTGCAGTAGTAAGGCACTACGACTATTACAATACAACATGATGACTACGACTACGACTACGACTACGGCTAGTAGGTAGTAATACTACCACTGCTGCTACTACTACTGCTGGCATTATTACTACCAGTACCACTGCTACAGCTACCACGAGTGCCTTTACGATTGCTACTACTACGCTTGCTACTACTAATGCCACTGCTACTACGACTACTATTACTACTGCTGCTACTACTACTACTACTACCACTACTACGACTACTACGACTACTACGACTACTACTACTACTACTACTACTACTACTGCTGCTACTACTACTACTACTACTACTACTACTACCACTACCACTGCCACTACCACTACCACCACCACCACCACCACCACCACCACCACCACGACTACGACTACTACTACTACTACTACGACGACGACGACGACGACGACGACGACGACGACGAAGACGACGACGACGACGACGACTACTACTACTACTACTACTACCACTACTGAAGCTACTACTATTACAACTATAGATATGACTACGACTGCGACTACGACTACTACTACTACTACTCCTACTACTACTACTACTACTACTACTACTATTACTACTACTACTACTGCTGCGACTACTACTACGACGACTACGACTACTCCGACTACTACTACGACAACGACGACGACGACAATCAGTATTGAATCACCGTTACTACAAATTATCCTGGCGAAGGTCCCGACCATCTGCAGTTGTGGGTACCGTAATCGTGAGTATCTCCTTCGGTGAAGCTCCCTATGGGCAATGCGAGTGCAACGCAATGCAATGCAACAGAAATGCTATTGCAAAGCGATGGCAATGTCATGCGACGGGGGGTGATACAATCGAGCCGCAACTGGGCCCCTCAGGGCTGATGGTTGCCCCAACGGGATCCCCTCAGGAGGGGAGAGGGGGAGGGGAGGGGGGGGCAAGAAAAAAGATTTGTTTTGTTGTTTTTTTCCCCCTTGAGGTGGTTGCAAACCTCCTCCCCTGGTCACGAATCTGATTGTGCGAGGGGTCGCACAATCAAAATCGTGACCAACGGGCGCCCCCCACCCTCTCACAACGGTGCCCCACCCTTCCGCCCGAAGCCCCAAGCGCATCCCTGGCCATGCGCCACCGACGCAAGAGAGAACAAGAAGTCCAAACGGAAACGATTCAGACAGAGCCCCACCCTCCCAAGGAACAAAGCGAATGACGAATCCCCAAAAACGAAAAAGGAACAGCAAACCGAAAATTGTGAAATCGCAGGGCGCACCCGCACCCGATGCTGGCCAGGCCCCTAATGGGCCCAGCGCCGCGTGAGCACCACCCCTGCCTGTGGGGGGCAACGACAGGGGCGGATAGGCATCGGGGGGGAAGCGTGGACCTCCAATGGGCGATGCCTCGCCGATAGATCGGCGAGAGGCCCCCGACAGTGAGTGCGCACGCTCCTGGGCAGGTTGGGCTTTCGGGCCCCTGTCGGCGATCCATGGTCGCTTGGGGGGTCGATGCGTCCCCCCACATGAGCCTCTCCCCCCCGTTATCGTGGCCCCTGAGCCTGGCCGGGCCGATCCTGGGCCCGTGGACCACGGGCCCAGGATCGGCCCGGCCAGGGTTGTCTATGCGCTCCACGGAAGGGGGGGGGGAATGAATGCAAGCCCAGAGAAAGGATGTTGCGGTTGCAGCCTACCTCAATAGAGGCGCAGCTCCGCTTCCGCATCAGCGGCCGCGCGGGCGCTCGTGCACGAAGGGCGGGCCCCGTGGACCGTCCGAAAACGACTCGGATGACGCTCTCTCGTCCCCGGGGAGGGCCCCCGGGGTCCGGGAAGGCGTGGCACGCCGCGCCCGGGCCCAGGATCGGCCCAGGCCCCATCCCCACTGGCGCGGCCCTGGCCCTGCTGGTCGATGTACCCCTCAGATGCAGGTGCAGGTCGACATGAGCTGTTTCCTCCTGCCCCTCCCTCGTTCCTCCTCCTCCGCTCTCATCGACCGGTCGACGGGTGATCTGTCGCTAAGCTATCGGCCAGGAAGAATGCAGCGCTACAGCGCCATGTTGCACTATGCTATGGAATGTCATGATACACCATGCTACGCTATAAAGCGCAATGCCACTATGCTGTATGCAATGTAAGACGATGGTATAATTGACAGTACGCGTTGCATGCCATGCCATGCTGTGCTGTGAAATGCTATGCTGATACATGGGATGATACGCTGAGCCCTGTCATGCTATGTCTCCTATGAAGATCGATGCTACAACGTTACATGGCATGCACAGACACGACATACCGTGCTCTACAATGCAATGCAATTCAATGCTATGCCATGCTTATGAGCTGCTAGGCTAAAAAAGACAGGACGGCTGTGAGAGCAACAACGGGGGTTTGATGTTTGCATGATGTCTGTTTACTGTAGCGCAGAGCAGGACGGTGCTGTTCGATTAATGTATGCTCACTGGAATGCCATATAACGCCACGATGTGTCATGAGATGCAATGCCATGCTAGACGCTGTTACGTCGTGACGTGCAGTGCTAGGCTCAGCTAGACACTGCTATGTAATGCGATGTTATGGCATGCTTAAGCATACTGTGATATGCACTAACACGGTTAGCTCTGTCGTGACTGCCGAAACGCATACTGTTAGTACATGAAGGAGCGTGGCTGCGGAGCACTTGGGGCAATCAATGAAACTCGTGTCAAGGAGCCCGCACAAGCAAATCTGCAGAAAAAGCGCCGTCTTTTTCCCCTGCGGCTAGGATCGACCCTCGCGGCACTCTGCACCAAAAAAGCATTGCTCCTCCGAGCCCTCGGGAGCCTCTTGGGGGCCTCTTTTTTTTCGATGGAGCAGGAGAGCACTACCGCAGGCGTCGCCCGAAGGGGCGTACTTGTCATACCGACGTTTCAAATAATCCAGCATGGTCAGCCTCTTGGGGGCCTCTTGGGGCCCTCTGGGGCTGTCTTCGGGCCCTCTTGGGCCGATTTGGGCTCCTCTGGGGCCGTCTGGGGGCCCTCTTGGACCGTTTTGTGCTCCTTTGGGGCGCCTCTGGGCTGTCTTGAAATGATTTTTGGGGCCTCTTGGGCCGTCTGGGGCCCTTCTGGAACCGAACAGGGAAGAATCAGAAAAACCGGCAAAACCCTTAGGAAATCAAGGTTGTTGGCCTCCTGAGGCCCTCTCGGGGGCTCTTTTGACGGCCTCTGGAACCCTCTCGAGGCTCTCTTGGGCCGGCTGGAAACCATCTGAAGCTCTCTTGGGGCCGTCTTGGAGCCGTCTGAGGCCTTTTTGGGGCCCTCTTAGTCCGTCTTGGAGAGCTCTGGCTGGTTCACCAAACAAAAATATGAAGAAACAGGCCATGGGAGCCGCCCGGAAGCCGCTTCACTCGAAAAAAAACAAAGGAAACGGGATGCGCGAAGGCACTTAGACCACCTCATCTGGGCTTGACCCCTCCTCCGGACCCCCTCCCTAGAAGGGCTTCGCCCTCTGCGAAACGTCTCTCGCTCGTACCTCGCTGTTTCCGTCACCTGGGCCGGAACGGAAACGGAAAGAGCGCCTCAGGAACTTGCCCGAGATGGCTCATGGCACCCTTCGCTCTTGGGAGCCTTGGTGTGGAGAGCTTGTTGCGTCGCCGCTCTCCGTTGGGAGCCCTGGTGTTCAGAGACTTTTACGTTGCCGCTCGTTCTTGGGAGCCTTGGCGTGACGAGCTTTGTACGTCACCCCGCTCTGGGAGCCTTGCTGTCAAAACATTGCTACGTCACCACTCGCTGATGGGAGCCATGGTGTTATTGAGCGTCTCTTGGGCCTCTTGGGGCTCTTCTGGGAGCCCGTGTGGAGCCCTTTGGAAGCCCTTTTGGGGCAATATTGGGCCGTCTTGTGGCCCTTTCGGAGCCCTTTGGGAGCCCTTTTGGGACAATTTTGGACAGTCGTGGGGCCCTGTTGGGCCGTCTTGTGGCGTCTTCGAGGCCTTTGACAGTCGTGGGGCTCTCTTGGGGGCCTCTTGCAGCCCTCTCGGGAGCCTCTTGGGGGCCGCATCTGGGGCGAGGCATGCCGTCGTCCTGGCGCTAGTTGCACCTGGGGCGGCAGGTCTCGTCGTCCTTGTGTGGGCGGTCGATCTTTTTTCTCTTGGTGGCAACACTGCCACCTTGCGTTTCTCGTGCTTGGCGGTGCAGGTTACGCAGCCTGCCCTAGTACCCGAGCCTTGGGGTATCGCCTTTTCTTGTGGTGTGCATGGTGTGTGCGAGCACGCTGGCTGCCCGTCGCCCCCGCTCGATTGCACAGTCTCGAGCGGGGGGACGCCTCACCCCCTGCGCTCTCGCGCTCTTCAGTAAACAAAAAAGCCTCTTGGGGACCTTTATGTCCCAAGACTCGTCGTAACTCGGCCCTCGACCGTCTCGCGCACGTCGGCCTCTACAGGTGTGTAGGCAGACGGCGGTGAGGACAAGACAGAGTGCAACAAACGCCCCGCTGTGACGAGGCCCAACAACTACTCAACTTAAACGTCGCACGTCGCGAGGGCTACCCGCTTTGCAACTCGAGCCTGAGCATCTGAAGTAAATTTACTCTCAGACGCTCAAGGAAAGCGCTCCGACCACTAACGGCCACAGCAGAAAGAGAGAAAGAGAGAGAGAGAAAGAGAGAGAGAGAGAGAGAGAGAAAAAAAGAGAGAGAACGAGGGAGAGGAAAAACATGGGGCAGGATACAATCACACGGAACTCGTCTCAACGAAGCCCTCCGGGGCACAAAACGACTGCGAAGGAAAGTAAACCGGAGGGGCCCCTGCACAAGTGGCAAGGTAGGCCGCAAACCATACCTCACTATGGAACAAGACTGCCAGAACGACACTTGCTCCAGACGTGGCCCGGCGTCGGGCCAGGCCCACGAGCGTCGCTATGGGCCCATCAAGAGGTTCGCAACGATGGACGGAAAAGCAAAATACGAATTCTGATGACGTCCCGGTGAAGTTGGCCACATGATGGCTTGCTATCTACAGGTATGTTGTTCCCATCGTATTTAAGGACCACATCCCAAAGTAACCAATTTGGAGTACTCAAAACAATATCGAAACAGTGTCTGCCCGACACGCTGGCGAAGTGTCGAACGAGTATCGCCTCCCAGAGCCCGCGACGCGAAAAACCTTCAGTCTCGAAACCCTCCTGGTGCACGAAATTCTTTCTACTGCTCGAGGCAAACGATGGCTGGAACATCATAACTCTACAGCGAAAGCATGCGGGAAAATGGGGCGGAAATCCGCCGAGGGAGAGACCGACGGCCGCGTGGGCGACCGACGACCCAGAAAAAACGAGGCACACGCCTCGTGAAGCCACGACGCCAGGGGCTGGGACAGCCAGCGCTCCGATGTTTTGAATGTGATGCTTTCGCCCTAGGCTTAGGTCGGGCGTGTCCTCTTACAGGCGCAATTTGGAAGGTACACGTAAGATAATAGAAATATGCAAAAAAATATCAAGGAATTGTCGACACATCGTTCCCCGACAATTGTTCTACCATTCTTGCATATTCCTCCTGTCGAGGGACAGGCCCGACTTAACCCTAGGCCTCTGTGCCCTTGTTTTGTGCACTCGAGATCCGGGAATCGTGGCCCAGCCCGCTCTCCGTCCTTACAGGGGCCTGGGGTCAGATCAGGGGCGGGGGCCACTCGGGCCCATCTCAGGGATCATGGGTCGGCGGGGACTCCTCCTCAGGTCCGCCCTAAGCGGCCGTTGGCGAGTCAGATCAGAGGTCGGGGCCTCTGGCCTGCGGCGCCAGGTCGAGGCTCGGGTCCGTCTCAGGGCCAGGGCCTCCGACCTGCGGCCTCTGCGCCCTCCAGCCCCGCGGCGCCCGCGGGGCCCTGGCCCGAGGGCAGCGGGCCCTCAGAGGCGCCCCGCGGGCTCAGGCCGAGGATGGCCCGGGGCCCCTGCGCCCCTTCGCCCGCGGCGCCCGCGGGGTCGTCGCCGTGCTCGGGGCCCCCGCCGCTCTCCAGCTCGGCCCAGCACGCCCGCCGCAGGCGCGCCCGCTCGGGGCGCGGCCCCGCGGGCTTGCGGGGGCCCTGCGGCGCTGCGCGCAGGCCTTCGCGCGGGGGCGGCGCGAAGGCGGCCAGGCGCTGTGACTGGCCCGGCGCCTCCCCGGGGCCCCTCGAGCGGGCCGCCCCGCGCGGCGGGCCTCCGGGCGCGGGCCCGCGGCGGCCGTCCGAGTGCCCGGCCCCCTCGGGCGGGCTCGGCGCCCCCTGCGCCCCCGCGGCGCCGGGATCGCCGGGGGACTGGCGCAGGAGCGACAGCGCGGTCCAGAGCCTGCGGGGGGCCAGCGGCGCGGCGCCCGCAAGCGGCAGGCCGCCCTCCTGCTCGTCCGAGGACGACTCCGCCTCGCGTTCGTCCTCCTCCGGGAGGAGCTTCGGAGGGTGCCGCATGCTGGCCGCGGGCGCGCCAGAGCGGCGTGCCGCGCGTTCGAGGATGCCGCGCAAGCTGTGTCCCTTGAGGTCTCCGCCCGCCTGCCGTGAGTTGCCCAGGACGCCCCAGGCGCTCCCATTCGAGGCCTCGCCCGTGCTCCCTGCCGTGGAGCCGACGGTGGTCCTGCAGTCGCTCCCGCTCAGCCAGGACCCCGACTTCCCGCCTGGGGAGCTCCCGCAATGAGGGCTCTCCGCGATCCAGGAGCCCATCTCCTCCATGAGGCACCCGGCCCGCTCGCGCGCTCGGGCAATCTGTGTGGGGAACGGCAACACAGGCAGGGGCAGCCGCCGCAATCGGTCGCCCCGTGCTTCGAGCTGGGGATTGAACCAGAAAGTGCGACGGGGCCCCATACGTGAGGACCTTCCCTTCGCCCAAGACCACAATCACTGAGCAAACAAGTGGTGTTCCGAAGACGCTGGCAAATTGGGGGCACCCCTATGAGGCTTGAAGGCTGACGTGGCCCAAATCATATCAGGATAGCCCATGCTTCCTGCATCCTTGCGTTCCCTCCTCATCCTGTAATCAAAGGTAACGATCACCTCATTACAAAGAGATCCCAAGATAACTCCAAGAAAGCCAAAGAAGACCGCAACAACATCGCCGTGGCATGGACACGAACATGCCTCCACACTTCCATGATTCGGGGCACTCGCCATGCGATCGTTTCTGCATGGGCTCGTGGGGGTACGCGACGCGTCAAGAAATTCGTGCCGCGCGTGTCTGCTCGAGACAAGCCCACGTGCTGCTGCCAGGAAGCTCGCCCTACGCGCACCCCGTCGCCGCGTCGCCGTAAGCTTGGCTTCATGCCAGGAGAAAACCGCACACGATGCGCACCTGTCTTGGCTAAAGCGTACCTTGAGGTTTCGGAGGCCCTTTGCTAGTCCTTCCAGCCACAAATCAAGTGTCTTCGGGGGCCTTCTAAAGCACATTCCGTACCAACAAGCCGAGCCGGCCACGCCATCCCAGCTACATGTTTCCGCCACCGTGGCCCTGGCTGCTTTCCAAAGCCGACGGGGTCCGACTTCGTCCCGAGTCAGGATTCAAATAAGCAAACTTGATTACACTTACAGGAGGGAGGAGGAAGTCCTTCCTGTCTCTCTTCCCTCCTTCCTCCTCCCACCTCCTCCTCCTCCTCCTGCCCCTCCTCCTCCTCTGTCCTCCTCCTCCTCCTCCCTTCTCCATCCTCCCTCCTCCCTCCTCCCTCCTCCCTCTCCCCTCCTCCCTACTCCCTCTTCCCTCCTCCCTCCTCCTCCCGCCTTATCCTCCTCCTCCGACCACTACGACCAATACTAGAACCACTGCGAGTACTCCTACTACTACGGCTACTTCGACTACTACTTCTTCTTCTAATGCTACTACTACTACTACTACCACCACTACTACTACTACTACTACTACTACTACTACTACTACTACTACTGCTACTACTACTACTACTACTACTACTACTACTACTACTACTACTATACTACTACTACTACTACTACTACTACTACTACTACTACTACTACTACTACGACTTCTATTCCAACTACTGCTGCGACACTACTACTACTACTACTGCTGCTACTACGACTACTACTCTAACTACTACTACTACTACTACGACTACTACGACTACTACGACTACTACGACTACTACGACTACTACTACTACTACTACGACTACTACTACTACTACTACTACTACTACTACTACTACTACTACTACTACTACTACTACTACTACTACTACTACTACTACTACTAGTACTACTACTACTACTACTACTACTACTACTGCTGCTGCTGCTGCGACGACTACTACTACTACTACTAATACTACTACGACTACTACTACTACTACTTCTACTACTACAACTACTACTTCTATTACTACGACGACTACTACTACTACTACTACTACTACTACTACTTCTACTACTACTACCACTACCTCTGCTACTTTTACTGCTACTATTACTTCTACTCCTACTACTACTACGACGACTACTACTACTACTAACACTACTACTACGACTACTACTACTACTATTACTCCTACTACCACTACTACGACTACTACTACGACGACGGCTACTACTACGACTACTACTACTACTACGCTACTACTACGGCTACCACTACCACTGCGACTACTACTACTACTACCACTACTACTACTACTGCTACTACTACTACTACTACTACTACTACGACTACTATTACTACTACTACTACTACTACTACTACGACTACTGCTACGATTACTACCCCTAATACTACTGCTACTGCTACGGCGACGAAAACGACGAGTGCTACTACTACCGCATCAACAACTACTACTGCTATTTCTACGCCTACTACGGCGACTACTACGACTACCACTACGCCTGCGACGAAGACCACGACTACGAACGACTACGGGTATGACCACGACGACGACTACTACTACTACGACGGCTGATATTCTGACGATGACTACTACCACTACGACTGCGACTGAAGCTACGACTGCCACTACTATTACTACTACTACGACTACGACTACGATTCATACTGCTACTGCTACTGCTACTACTAACTGCTACTACTACTACTACTACTACTACGACTACTACTACTACGAAGGCTACCACTACGACTACTACTACGACTACAACTGCTAC